ACAGGCTGCTTGGTTAGTGGATGCTGTAGGGAAGACACGGCATTCCTAATTTGGATCTCAAAAGCTGGTTCAAGGGAGGCAAGACACAGTCAAAATGGGTTCTTAGATCATCTGTTCAGCAATGAAAATCTCATTTCGTGAGAAGAAGAGCATCAGATTATTTCTTGAGTTGCCCAGTAGACAACACGATCTCCCCAAGAACACAGAATGCAGCCAAAGAAACTGCTGTCTTGGGTTCAATTAAACCGCAGTAGTTGAAAAAGAACTAGTTGTGAAGCAGACAGGGAAGGAACCCGGGGGGAAATCGATCACGCCACATGACACAGGGAGATCAGACATAATGTTGTTGGGCATATTAAGAAGGCAAATTTTAAAAAGTCAGAAAAAATTCAGACCACAGCCTTAAAGAGATGATGGTTCAAGAGTGATGAAAACTGTGATGACATAACCACAGTCAGTAGGCCTGAAGAGGGAATGTATAAGGGAAAATGAACATTGCGGTCACTGAGAGTGGTCATTTGGACAGTGGTCCAGTTATTGAAGGTCATAAGTGGATTTTCAAGAGACAAGCACCGTTAAGGGATCACCATGATAAAAACAAGAAGATAACGTGTTCCCTGTCTTTGAGGTGTACACAAAGCTGTCAAATTCAGCACTTAAAACAGCACAGGGACTCAAAAAGCAACATCGGAGTTGGAGTAGCTTGTGGAAAATGCAAGTGAAGTTCTATAGGCAGTCTTATTAATGATGAGTCTGGTAAAAAAGGTTGTAATGATTACAATAGTCAGCATTTATTGAGTAGATCCCTTATGCTAGGTATTATTTGTAGATTATTTATAAAAAATTCAAGAAATAGGTGTTACTGGTATCCATAATTTATCCTCATTTGAGGATGGTGCTATTTGCTTTAGATGTATGATATGGGAGGTAGAAACAGAGGTAATTAACTTGTCCTGTAGAAGGTGGTGTCCACAGTCATTGGCTTTACCCGTGTGTTCCTTTCACTGATGGTTGATTCTCTTTGTAGGGTATTTGTGAACCAGGAAACCCTGCTGGAAGGATTGTCATTATGATGTGGTTTCTATGTCTGTTACTGTGTTATATGAATCCTTTTTCTTCCCCCCTGGGAAGACATATACACTGTTAGAAGAGAAATTCTACCTTCCAACTTTTGTTTCCATTCTCAAGTCACTTGACTTTGATGCTGAGCTTTTTATGCTGCAATTGCTTTGAAAGATCTGACTAGTGCAGCTTAAGTGCCATGGAGATGCCTGGGGCCTGAAGCAGGAAGATTTGGCATCTAGGTTCTGTTCTAAGGCTTGGCCTGGTCACCTGCCACCAAGGAGGCAGTCAGCAGCAAGCTTAAGATCAGGACTTTGATATGGAGAAAGCTGGGTTTGAAGCCCAGCTCTGTGTTTCACATGGGGAACGAATCACGGAGCAAATTAATGTCAGTGACCTAAGCTTGTTGTTATGGCCTGAATTGTGTCCCTCCCAAATGCATATGGCGAAGCTCTAACCCCTAGTGTGACTGTATTTGGAGACAAGGTCTTTATGGAGGTAATTAAGGTTAAATGAGGTCGTAAGGGTGGGGCCCTAATCCAAGAGGACTGGTGTCCTTCTAAGAAGAAGAGACACCAGAGATCTCATTCTGCATGCACAGAGAAGAGGTCATGAAGGGACATGGCAAGAAGGTGTCCCTATGAGACAGCAAGAGAGGCCTCATGTGACACTAACCCTGACTGCACCTTGATCTTAGACTTCCAGCATCCAGAACTGTGAGAAAATAAATTTCTGTTGTTGCAGCCACCCAGTCTGTGTATTCTATTATTGTGGCGAATACACAGGCAGAGCCCGCTTTTCTCTGAGGTACCATTAGGATAGCAGGCCCCATCCGATGGGTTGTTCTGAGAGGAGCCACATAAGAGGCTGAGGACAGTGTCTGGCACATGGCAAGAGTTTGATGATTTCAGTTACTATGGTGAATACCGAAGTGTGGTTTTCTCCCCAGTCTGCTGGGCATGACAGTCCCACGTCTCAAATGGTAGGCAGGAGGCCCAAATGAGACCTGTGCCTTTTAAGCCTTCCCTGATGACAGAAGAGAGTACACATCTACCTGGGACAGGGCTACAGGAAAGGTCTGCTGGAATCCATTATTTTTGTGAGACTGAGTTTTACTTGTGTGGCCCACAGTGGAGTGCAATGGCTCAATCTCCGCTCACTGCAACCTCTGCCTCCCTGGTTCAAGCGATTCTCCTGTCTCAGCTTCCCAAGTGGGTGGGATTACAGATACCCACCACTACGCCTGGTTAATTTTTGTAGTTTTAGTAGAAATGGGGTTTCACCATGTTGTCTAGGCGGGTCTCAAACTTCTGACCTCAAGTGATCTGCCCACGTTGGCCACCCAAAGTGCTGGGATAAAAGGCATGAGCCACCGCATCCAGCCTGGAAGACTTTTTGAAGTCTCATGTTTTATCTTAAAATGCAGGCAGACTTTGCATTCTGATTCATAACATGGTTGTGTTTACAATTATTTATCAGAGTAGAGAACTGAGGATCCAGGCAGTTAAACCAATCTTGTGCGGCCCAGCCTCAAGACCACTTTACTTGAGATGGCCTTTGTAAGTCACAAAGAACTGATCTGATGTGAGGAAGTAGTAGTATTCACTTTTGAAAAATCAACATTGCTGTACAAGTAATCCATTTGAGGTGCACTATAAAGTGTGTTGTATTTTACTAATTAAACCACAAACCACTGCTGGAGCTCCTCAGCAGTGGTTTAATTGGTAATATACAGCACACTTTTTGTGCGCCATGTGCCAGGCATGGTGTCTGCAGATCGATCACAACAGATCCACTCCTTGCCTTCCTGAAGCTTACTTCTAGGTAGGGAGAGACTGAACAGTCAGATAACTACATCTATAAAGTTGTGACAAGAGGTGTGAAGGACGATAGTAGGCCAGAAAAGCCTGCAGGAAGAGAGCAGGTTAGAGTCCTCCTAAGCTCTCAGCACCAAGGGATTCCTAGGAAGAGTGCTCTGGAGGCAGCGTTCTGACCTCGAGGTGTTGGTTACCAAGCATTTAAAGTGAAGTGAACTATTGTCACCCTCTATCTTAGGATGACACAGTGCACTTTCCACAAGGCTGAGTAGGCATAGGTATAGAATTTTTTTTTTTACTGGAGATCAGACAGGGTGGTATTTAAAAACTGGCAGGGAGAGGGGTGGTGGAAGGGTGGCGGAGATGGGGCGGCAGGTAGGAGTGTGAAGGGGAGGGTGGATGGTGCCATTTGCTTTAGACATATGATGTGGGAGGTGGCAACAGCATGAATGGGGGGCAGGAGAGGTGCCTCTTCTCTTTGTTTTTCCTCCCTGATGTACACTCTCTGCACACTTGCCTAGAAATCAGTTAACAGGTGAGAACAGCTTTACAAATCTAGGCCTCAGTTGCCAAAGAACCAAACAGAAGGCCCCTCTCTTTCCTGCCTGCACTTCCCAGCCCTTCAAGAAGATGAATGTGGTATTTTGCGATGGGGAGGGTCAGGTGGGGAGGCTGAACTGGAAGCCAGGAGTCCCCTCTGGCCCTCTGAGCTCGCCAAGCCCGACTCTCCCTGTAACAGGAGTGCGGGAGGTTATCCTACACCTGCTCTGGGCTCATCCCTGCCCCGGTACTTCCTAACTGTTCCCATGCCGCTGTTTCCCTCCTTTTTCCTCCCTTGAAGGGCTCACTCAGCACAGCAAACAGGCAGATGGGGGAGAAGCGTGAGATTATCATGGGGAGGAGAGGGAATTTTCCATTATCAATAACAACACTTCACCTGTTGGCACAGCACTCACTGGTTTATCTAGTGCCTTCACACCTGTGATCTCTTTGGATCCCCGAGGCGCAGAGTGAAATCCTGGGGTTCCGATTCCCAGCCTTTGACACTGTTTCCATGTCCAAGTAGGCCCCTTCTTTACAGACACACACACTCCCATCTGGCCACTTTACTTAAAATGTGCTCTGCGGAAGCGGTGGCTCACGCCCTTAATCCCAGCACTTTGGGAGGCCAAGGCCGGTGGATCACCTGAGGTCAGGAGTTTTAGACCAAGAAGGTGAAACCCCTTGTGTCCTAAAAATACAAAATCAGTTAGGCATGATGGTGCACGCCTGTAGTCCCAGCTACTTCGGAGGCTGAGGCATGAGAATCGCTTGAACCCGGGAGGCAGAGGTTGCAGTGAGTCGAGATCGAGCCACTGCACTCCAGCCCGGGCTACAAGAGCGAAATGGTCTCAAAACAAAACAAAAACAAGCAAAAAGAGACGTACACTGGCCTCCAACGAATGCCGCCCTCTTGGCTCACGTCAATCTCAATTTCAGAAGTCCCTCCACTTCGGTGAAACGTCTACCAAATACACTGGAAAAGAGCCGGCAAGGTGCCTGGGAAACTGACTAGTCCAACATTGACGCCGGTCAGGGAGAAGGGCCTGGGCCGAGGACACAGCTGGTCCGGGACAGAGCCACCCACGCCTCCTCCCCCGCTCGCTCGCGCACCCAGGCACACGCGCGCCTGCTCCCGGCGCTCTTCCTTCTCCCACTGCCCCGGGCAGCTGCAAACTTGGGTGCCCTGGGGCTTCTCCCCAGGGGCTTCTCACGGCGGGTGTTGAACCTGTAAACCTTGTCTTCCCCGTTAGAGTGGAAGGCGGCGGGAGGAGCTCGCGGTGCTCCGAATCGAGAGGGGGATCTTTTACGAAGTTACAAATCCTCAGCCTATGAAAACTCCGATTTCACACACGGGAGGCGACTCGACCCCAGGACTCGGGCATTGACACGCACTGGGTCGTCCCGGCAGCCGGAGGCACCTGTGCTCCAGCGCCGCGTCTCCCAGCGCCCTCCGGCCGTTCCGCAGCCCCCGCCCCACCGTCCGCCTCTCTCCCTCCTCTTCCTCTCCGGCTTCCGATCGCCCGGTCTCCCTTTCCCGCCCCGCGCAGCAACAAGTGCGGGCGCCGCGGCCCCTCTTACCCCGGCCTCGGTCCATGGCGTCGGCCGGGCCCCCGGGGCGGGGGCAGCAGGGCGCAGGGCTCCGGCGCGGCTGGTGGCGACGGGCGCGCGGCGCTCTCGGGCCCGCCCTGCGGCCGGCGCTCCCCGCGGTCCCCTCCCCCCGGCAGGATGCTCGCCGGCCGCCCCCGCCCCGCCCGCGCCCGCCCCTCCGCGCCGCTCCCGGAATAGACCCGAGCGCGCCTCTGCCCCCGGGCGGCCGGCCGCTGCCCCGCGGTCCCGCACACGCCCGCGCCGCGCCCTGCCGCCCTCCCTGGCCCTCCGCTGGGGCCGCAGGACCCGCTTCCCCGTCCGCACGCGGTGGTCCCCGCGCCGGCCCGGACCCAGGTGGTGTGCGATTTTGCCCGCGCTCTGCTTCCGACGCGGGCTCACCACCGCACCCCGCAGCCCGCCCCATCCCGGCCCGCGGAGGCCGGCGCAGCGCGTTTTCATCCGATCCCTGCAGCCTGCCGCCTCCGGTTTCCTGGCTTTGGGTTTGTCTTCTTTCGCCGCGGGTCTTTTCTGAGCGCCTTCTAAGCCAGACAGTGGGCCCGTGGCGATGCCGGTGCAGTGTCAGTGGTGTTGCGAAAGGAGAGTGAAATAATAACAAAGATCTTCAGAAAGAAAAGCACCTAGGAACGCGAGAGAGGCTTGCTGAAAGGTGGACAAGGGCTTGGGACACTTTCAACGAAAACGTGAAAACACGCGAGGATGTGGGAGAATTCAGAAAAAGAGTAGAAAAATAAAACGTGAAAACACACAAAACAGAGTGATTAAAAAAATGTGGAAATGAGCACTTTCAGCATACAAAATACAGTGCAATGGAAGTGCAGGCTTCCCAAGATTGTAGAAAATATCGCTATGACCCGTGTGGAACAGTAATGGGATTTAAGTTAAAAGCTGTATGAAGAACGTCAACTTCTTCACCTTATTAGGATATCCCTGTGAAAACAGGTCTCACTCATTTATAGATAATATCAAACGTCTGACTTTGAGACCCTTTGTAAAGTCCAGGACCAATTGTCCTCCCAGACACCGCTCCTCCCACCAAGGGCCAGGCCATGGCTTTCAGCTTTGAGCAGGCCACTGTTCCCTTCTTAGAACATTCAGGAATGGGGAACACCAACCACAAGGCATGGAGGCAAGAAAAAGCCTGGCAGAGAGCATCTTGTACTTTCCCGGACTGGAAATATTTTCTCTATTGGTTTTATGGGTAAATTGAAATTAACATTGTCTTTAAAATCAGTAATTTATGTATTGTGTATGTGTGAGAGCGCTCAGACCAAACGTGGTGTTGTGAACATATGAAAACCTGTGCATGGGCTCTCTTGTTCTATTAGTTTGGTGCAAAAGTAATAGTGGTTTTGCCATTTAAAGTAATGGCAAAAAAAAAAAACAAAACAAAAAAAAAAAAACGCTATTACTCTTGCACGGATCTAAATACTACGTAGTATAATAACTTTCCATCAGGGAGGTTTTCTTGCTCATCCGTGTTATGGGAAGCCTCATACTCTAAGTACTCACAGGACTGTTGATAGGGCAAATGAAATGATGATACAGACCCTCTTTATAAACCACAAACAGCTATAAAATATGAGCCATTATTATTTTCTAAGTTCCTCTTTGCTGCTGTCCCCTTTTCCAATTTGAAAAGGTCAGTTTAAATTCTAAAGCAGCCAACCAACAGTTTACAAGTGGATTAGGTTTTAAAAGTTTATTGTTTGAACTCTGAAACACGGAAACAAGTCCATAAATTGTATTTAAGTTCTCAGGCTAGCTCACTAATTCTTCTAAAAACATAATATTTCTTTGAAATGGTTTAGGAAAACAGTATGAGATGTTACTGTTGCAAAAACAGAGACTTTTGTAGAGATTTTTATTTTTATAATATTAAAAAAATATTTAAGATAGAGACGAGGTTTCACTATGTTGCCCAGGCTGGTCTTCAACGTCTGAGCTCAAATGCTCCTCCCGCCTCCGCTTCCCTAAGTGCTAGAATTACAGGCATGGGCCGCCACGCCCTGTAGAGATTTTTAAAGAGAACTTTAAGAAACTTTCAAGGACTTCGGAGATATACTCAGAGAATCGGAACAAAAGAGTAAAAAAGGCTAAGGAAAATTTATGTGTGTCCATGGAATAATTTATGGAGTGGAATTAACTGAGTTGTGGTCTGGGAAGGATATAGAAATAGGAGACCACGGTCTGTGAACAGTTCTGAGAATCAACAAAAAAATTGTTGCCGGGAAGGCAGAGTGGTTCTGGTTTAGGTAATTACTCATAATGTCCACTAGATGGCAATGTTGACTAAGTTGTCTACAGCTTGGTTGCTGTCAAGAGTAACTGAGATGGATGAGAAAGTTATTTGTGGGTTTGGACAAGGAATAACTATTTTTTTTTCCCTGTATGTTTCCTTTAGTGAGGCCTATATTTCTCATAAAAGCTAACAATCCACATTGTCCATAAACTTGCTTAGGCAATATGATTGCGCTCTGTGCAAGTTGCTATTGGAAGAAGAAATGCTAAGTAGGAGTGATTCCCACCCTCAGGGAATCTATAATCTAGTAGAGGAGATAAATATGTACAAAATAATATAATACAAATTATTATATGAAACGTACCAGAGGAGAAATAAAGTGTTCTTAGAGTCCATCAGACAAAGCAAGACTTTTTTTTATTTTTACTAATCACGGAGGCAGTAATGGATGACAGATATTTGGAAGGGGGCAACTAAGAACGTGTAATGAGGGGATGACATTATGAGCAAAGAATGATGAGAGCAAAGACGTTGAGCTGAAAGGCGGCAGGACGTGTCTGTGAAGCAGTTCAGGTTGGCTGGATTGTGCGTTATTGAGGGGCAAGCATCAGGGCAAGGATGGGAATGAGGGTTGTTGGTATCCCCTTTCCATTTCATTTTGAGTGCAACTCTCTGGCAAGGATTTTTAGGAGCTGCCTCATATCTTCCCTTTCACTACCTACTTTGCTCACTTCCAAGTTTTCCAGGTTTGCCTGGTGCGTGTCTGAAGAATTCTGTGGGGGGAGCTCCAGCTCTGTGAGAAGATATCAGATTTGGCCCTAGTGAACAATACCAGGAAGCAAGCTTTCAACTCCCTCCTGCTCCTGGTCTTGTGAAAACAAATGATACTCCCCAGTCTCATTCTTAGCTTATCAAGTGGAACTGGGAAACCCTGGGAAAGAAAAATTTGGAGGCTCAGGACTGTTTGTTCCAGGGAGAGAAACATAACTCTAGCCTCTTAACCTGTCACCTTATCTCCAGGGACTCCTTTCACCATGGCCACCAGAGTGACCATTCCGTGATCCCAGTCAGACCATGCAACTTCTCCCTTAAAAATATTCGATGGGTCCCCTTGGCCATCAGCAGAGAGTCCAGATTTCTTATTATGGTGTTTGGGGTGCCTTCTTCACTGAGCCTGCAATGTGATCTCAGGAGACCTCAGGAAGAGTATGAAAAACAACAGATGGGTGCTCAGATCTGGGTTCCTGAGTCAGCTTTGTTGCTGTGTGAATCTCAGGTCAGCCTGATATATTGGGTCAATAATATATAATTCCTTTATGTGCTTCTTTCCCTGTGCTCCCCTGTCCCCCACAGGACCGCAAATGCTATGAGAGCAGATGCTGTATCTTACTCATTGCCAGATCCCTAGAACCTAGCACACAGTGCCCAGCACCTAGTAAGTGGTAATAAGTATTTGTGGAATGAGTCAGTGAAAACATATGCAAGGATGTGTGAGGCCTGCCAGTATTGGCTATTATTAATGCATGTGTCCTGGGGATCCTGTTTGTCCTCTGGGATTGTCCTATTTGCTTATTGATTTGCAGGGGAAAATGAGCTTGTGACTGGGCATTCCGGAGACATGCTGCTGTGCTGCCCAGACCCTGTGTGCTGCTGTGGATGTGCGGCTTCTCCTTGGCTCAGGGCCCCTCTCCCATGCTCCTTTGTGTGGGGTGAGCCCCAGAGCCCTCTGATCGGGTGTCTGCCTGATGTTGGCTGCCAGATGAAAACCTCTCTTGTTCCACTCAGCACAATGTCGCCATTATAGCCCCTATCCAGTGAAATGACACACGTCTGCTGGTCCACCCTGGGCCCTGGAAAGCAGATAGAGATCTCAGTGGCTGTTTCTGGGAGAAAGAGAAAGAGTTTCATGGATGGATGAAAATTCCTTCTTCCCATGCACCTTCATGTTTCTGCTCCAGGGCACAGGGCTCCTACCTGCGCGGGGCAGCTAGGCTCAGCTTCCACACTTGTTAAAGCCAAGCCCAGTGCTTGTGTCTAAAGGAAAAGGAGCTTTTGTTTTTGTGCTGAAATGCTGCATGAAGCTTACTCCCTTCCTTTGGATTCTTCATCTTAAGTGAGACCTTAGGCTCCTTAAACGAGGCTCGTGCCCTGAAGCACCTACAGGGCTGGGCAGGGAAGGGTGTGCAGGAAGCAGGCCATGGAGGTGGAGGGGCCATGGCAAAGTGGAGCCCTCATCTGAGGGACCAGTCACCAGTCAGCTCAGCTCCGGAGTGGCCAGGTCTTCAGATTTTCCAGCAGAACCCAGAAATCTAGATTTTAGTAAAAAATCTCTTTTGATTTAAAAGTGTTGGTAATGAATTCCAATTGTTTTAAAACATTGCAAAAAACACCCCTGTGGACTTAATCTGGTCTATAGCCCACCCAGAACCCCATGTGGAAACTTGAGGGGAAGTGTGGACCCATGAAGACTTCTAGAGGGTCTTTCCAGCTGGGGGCCTCTACACTGAGGCCTGAGGGGGCCTAACACTGCAGCGTGGACTAAGTCTCTTCTGAAGATCTGGGCTGCACGCGCCCAATTTCAACCGTGGCCGCAGGCTGGTACCAGGTTGCTGAGGTCCAAAGTGGGTTTTATAACCTGGAGCTAGAAAAGCTTTAGAGCCCCAACGAGCCTGACACATTAGCCCATCTGGTTCCTTCATTTGTCAGTTAGGGAAACTGAGGCTGAGAGAGGGGGAGAAATCTTCCCTGAAGTCACATAAGGCTTTAGATTCAGAACCAGGAGTGGTGATGCTGACATGAGGTCTCCTTAGCCCCTCTGTTCAGTTTGTGGGATGCAGTGGTGAAGAGCATGACTTTAGGACAAAGTAGATC